TACCAAATATAAAGAACAAGTAGTTCATTTATATGACTATAATTAGTATGATCTTTAGTACAGTCAAGCCAAGTATTTTGGGGGCTCAATTGAAAAGAAGAAAATGAATGGAACAGGATGGGAAGTTTGCGAGCTGGTCTGATCATCCCTGGACTTTTGGCCACTGGGGTGCAGGGAACAGATCGGGGAGAGCCCGAGCTGCTGAGCTCCGCCTGCCCCTCACCCTGTTTGGTGCTGGGCCTAACACAGAGTCACCCCCAGGCAGTCTAGGACTGGGCGTGTGGGGCTGAGAGAAAAGACGAGGTCAAGAGGAAATGATTTCCACAGCATAAGGACCCTGGTGGCGGTTCACTGCTGTCACTGGCGTCTCACCACGTGTGGGAATGCCTGACCTAAGAGACAAAGTGGTCAGAGTGACATCAGTTTGCCATGAACTAAAACCCCCTCTTATCTGCCCTAAACAATGTCATCCATAACCCTGTTGCCACCCCTTCCCTATTCCTCCAAAGACTGAGAATCCTAAAACTTTACTAATGGGGGAGAAAATGATCCAGTCTACTAATGGGAGAATGCTGTGATCAACAACGGTTACAACCACTGGACTGAGTATTTTTCTCTGGTTCTTTTCTCTGTCAGAAGCCTACGATTCTACATGGAGAAAATCCCAACTACCCGAGTTGTCCTGAATTACAGAAGCAGGGTGCTGATAATGCCTTCCACTTCACCTGAGTCGGGGGGAAGGAAGGGACCTGGGTCGCTTACACTGCTCTCCTGTCAAGGCTGCTCTTGCTGGAAACTTGACTCACACAGAAAGAATTGTCTAAACCATGCAACTTAAAAGGAAGGCCTATGGCTCCGAATATGTTCCCATATTGCCAGAAATTCTGGCATTCACTTGAATTTTGAACAGGCAAAATACACTGAGGAAGAACTGGAGGTGGGAGAGCAATTCTGGGCACTATTTTATGTAAAAAGAATTATTGTGTTAATAGGCCCACATGGGAGGGTTAAGGAAAAAAGTAAAGGGTCATTTTTGAGGAGGGGAGGTGCTAGTGATATGGTTCTAGAGAATCAGAGGGCAGTATGAGGTCACTAGGCCACGGGAAACAAATGGGGAAGATTCATGGTGTATGGACACCAAAGAACGTTTCATTTCTGCAATCTTGCTGAATACTGGCTTTATCCCTTACTAAACCTACAAGTTCCTGCTGCAATTCAAATTCTAGGTCTTCAATGTCATCTATTTCTCTTCTATTTCTAGGAGATAAAATTAGAGAAGAATGATCACAGGATGTGTTGTATGTGTTAGTTAAGGGTTACAATCTGCTCACTATGGGGGGCAGTCACGCACAACACTTAACTAGTTTTGGCACAAAGAACAATCAAGATTGATTCTATTCCTTAAGCTTCCAAATGCCTAAGAGAAAGGAAGCAACAGAAGTTTGGTTCATACTAAGTATCCTGGACACCAAACACAAGCATGACAAGGATTGAATACCATTTTTCAAAACATCACTCTACTCTGGCTTTGAGGATGAACTGAATGATAACTCTGGGAAGAGCGGTCATAGTTATCAACTATAGAGGTTTATGCCATAAAATATGAAGTAAGAATACAAACTATTTTTTTTTAAACAGGAGCTTACTTCCTTCTCCCTGACATGCAAACCTCACAGTGCAGCGGTCTTGCGGCGGGACAATTTGCGGGGGGAGTGCAGTGACTTGGACTGGTGGGGGGCAGAAGGCGAGCAGAAGGTCAAGGAAACATTTAAGTCACACTGGATTCCTGGACAAGAAAGGAAGCTAAAGGGAACGCAGGAAGGGAAGTGAATGGCCTATTACGAGTAAGGAAACGGTAACCAGTGTTACTGAGGGCTCTACACACCTTGTTTCTTTAAATTCTCAAACAACCTCTGAGGCAGTACCACTATTAGTATCCTTGTTCTTCTGATGAGCAAACTGGGGTTTATCTAACAGAAAAGTTAGGGAACTTGATCCCACTCATACACCTAGAAAGTGGTACAGGCAGCAAATCTGAGCCCCCTTATGCGCTTAACCAATAAACTGGAAGAAGAGAACTCAGGAAGCAAACGAGGGAAAAACCAGGCTTTTTAAGAGCTGGAGCCCGATTCATAAAGATTCAGCCTGTGTGAACTCAACTCCTTTTCCCTTTATGATAGGAGTTCCTTTGTGCTGGTTTGAAATTCAGTGTTATGTCTGAACTGCACTTAGGCTGAGTGCTAGTGGGTGACGGACAAGAAAGGGCTCTCCTGGAGGAAAGTGAGAGTGGGAGTCTTCTTCACTACAGCTGGGTGGTGGCTGAGAGAGCAGTGACAAGGCGGGCATGGGACGGCGCGCATTCCTGCAGCCTTTGGGCCGAGTAGAATGAACCTATCTGTTAAAATACATACGACTTCTTGGTTTTACATTCAGAGCTTTTTGTGGGAGGAAAGGGAATGTAGAGAAGAGTTTGTTAGGGAAAAAAAAATGGAAATGGTTTTCTAGTGGAAGGAACAGTTAAAATAATTTATTCGAACTTCCTTCCCATTCTCTCTCAAGTGAATGATGTTTCTATGGACATACTATATTGAATATTTTAGTACAGTGAAACATACAGAGTATAATGTGAAATACTATTGTACCTCAATAGAGTTCTCTTTTTATTGCCCTGTAGAATTAACTAGAAAAACTGTCTTAAGAATAATGGAATAGTTTCCATTCAGAATGGACTTGGATATAATATTTCAAAGACAGAAAAAAATCACTTGAAAAAAAATTTTAAAATCTAGATCAAGAGTTTTCTCTAGTGGACAATTATGTGAAATACTTTTCTGAATATAAGAATTATGTTTAACAAAACACAAAAAATAAGACCTATAAAAATTTCCCTGGTTGAAAAACCAGTGCTATGTAGAACATTTGCATTTGAATCCATTTTATTTTCCAGTTTCTAGAAAGGTTAAATGTTTGACATGACAAGGATTTTTATGCCATTTAATGTGGAATAGACAGAATGCATACATCTGGTATTTCAGTAAAGAGAATGAACGATATACATTAGGGACTTCTAAGTTATCAAATGGATAGAATTAATTTAGGAGAGAAAATGGTAGTGCAGTCAATTTATAGTGCACGTAGCACATATGTTAATGAAAATCACTTTCCACATTACAGGTGAAATTCTGTCAGCATTAAAAACTGATTTGTACTCAGTTATTATGTCACAATAAAATCTGTTGAAAGATTTAATAAAACATATCACTTTTTTCTGATTTTACCACCAGAAGTTTACTTCTGAGAAATAAAATAGCAAAGTGCCGAAAAGGGGAATGTCAAATAGAAATCACCATGAAAAATAAAAATGAGCATTTCATATACATATCTACATAGTGACAATAATCAAATAAACATTCCAGTCTTCAGAATTGTTGCAAAGAAAGGAAATACAGATGCTCTGATGGCCAAAGCATTTTTCAAAGTACATTTTCACTTTCCGATGTTTAATAAAGATAAACTCTTCATTATATTTCAGGCAAGAAAGAAGCTAATTTTGTCTCATAAATTACCAGGTGTGATATTTCTAAAACTGACTGCATTACTAGGCAAAATTCTTCAATTCAATTCACTGATGTCTTTTACTGAAGGATGCATTGGTTTGAAAATCAAAGACTTACGTCATCCAAAAAATCAATCAGTGAAGATGAGGAAGAAGAAAAGGAATCCTATTTAACGAATACAGCAATAAAAAATAGAAAATATGGATGAAGCAATTTAATACGAACAAATAATAAAAAATTTTGTAAAACAATTGAAAGGCAAATGACATTAATTCAAATAAATAAATGAGAAAAGCAGTCATTGGCATCATTTCTCAAGAAACTTAGAAATCCATTAATTTTTAAAACGTGGTTCTTTTTCCCTTTCCTAAAGAAATGAAATACAATGCACACATTGTGCCCAAAATGTAATAAAATGAAGCACATGGTAAATCATTAATAATCAAATTAAATGAAGCACTTTAGAAGGGTCACAATTAAAAGTGAGCAGTTCCCAGTGGAATGTAACCTCTCTGAGAACAGGACTTGGTGAACTGGGTCACTACTCTATCTCCAGCACCTAGAACAGTGCTCTGCACAGAGACTTGTGATTATTTGTTTAATAAAGATATAATCACTAACTAAATCTTCTGAGACAAAAATATACTTTATATCATAAAATTGTTTTTTTTTTTCCAGCAAAGAATTTAAGCACCAAAGAAGGACAGTCATAGAGTCACTATTTCATTATTATGGAATATACTGCCTAATACATTCTGTGTAATACTTTTAACAAAAAGTATTCCTATTGTTAACTTCTAAAATAATTGAACGGATTTGAAGCTAGACCCAGCACTGCCCTATTGTGAGCTCTGACATTTCCACTTTTTTTTTTATTATTATTTTTTTTTATTGCGGCTCTGTGCTTGGGGGAAAAAAGAAAAGTGTCAAAATTCTTTCAAAAGTTTGGATTTGTTCTGCATTTACTGTTTCTCAGGGGAAGAGACAAAATTTCTTCTAAATCTTATGACTCACATTTTGACCTTTCTTAGATTTTTCTTAAATACAAATGTGATTACAGTTTCCATAAGAATGCAGAACATGGGGTGCCTGGGTGGCTCAGTCGTTAAGTGTCTGCCTTCGGCTCAGGTCATGATTGATCCCAGGGTCCTGGGATGCAGCCCAGCCCGTACTGGGCTCCCTGCTCCGCGGGGAGCCTGCTTCTCCCTCTCCCACTCCCCCTGCTTGTGTTCCCTCTCTAGCTGTGTTTCTCCCTGTCAAATAAATAAATAAAATCTTTAAAAAATGCAGAACATACTCTTCTCTTAACATGTTTTTGTTTATATAAAATTCTAGGTCCTCTTATGTGGGAGGCAATAAAACAGTTTCATTGCAAATGAATTTTAAGTTACAAAGTGAATTTTAAATGGACCGCAGGGAATACTTGAAAAGTTTAATACTTACTTCAAATTGATCCAGAGCATCGGTAGGCGTATTCAAAAATGCCAAGAAAGAATGCTGTGAGTCTTGGTGCTCTATACCTAGAAGACAGCAGCAACTTTTTTTAAAACTAGAACAATTTAAACTAATTTTCATGGATAACCATTCCTGTCTGAATCTATTAAGAGCTGATCACAAACTACCATATTTTAAAGCTGATCAATACTTTTAACTCTACATACTGAAAAAACTATAGTAGTGTTTCTTGGAATATCACTTAACAGTTACACCAGTCTCCATGACATACTTGCTTCCTGACTTGAGGTCTTGAATTTCTTTCTTTTCCCACATAGCGCATCAGAACAAACACATTACATCTTGGTAGACTTGGGAGAATTTTAAAAACATGGTTATATCTGATTTTTCTAAGCTAATTTATCACCAAACAAGGTTTCTGTTTTGGAAAAACTTTTAGCAAACATATAGTAAGCATTAATATAAATAATCTCTTATGATAATGTCGTGATAAAACAAATGTATTTAGTTATGAAAAAACTTTTGTCAAGGCCTCAATCTGATTTCAGGTATTGTTTTATTGACAGAATAAATCACTCATACCCTAGTTTTTCTCAGATGAGGTTATAAAAGCTGGTGCATATTTGTTAGGAATGGCATTAACTTCAAAGGCATAATTTCCAAAATAATTCTTAAAATTTATACACAATGATAAATACTAGGAAGGAAAAAAGCAGAAACAACCAAGCACACATTTTCGACTTCCTCATCCTTAGGAAGTGACATTAACTAATTTGTGTGGCTTTCCTACTACTCTAAATAACTAACACCATGGATGCCAGAGGAGGCACTATGTTCAGAAATTCATCCAGTCAATAAATATTTATTGAGAGCCTTGTGCCAAACCTTGTCTAGATACCAGGACATATTAGTAAATGAGCAGAAAAAAAATCCTTGCCCTCATTGTATTATATAAATACTACATTATAGTATTTAAGTAGTATAGTACATTATGTTACAACACAAAGTGAAATTTTATTATCTACAATGTTCTAAATCCAAATAAAAGCTATAGGTTAACATGCTTTCATAAAGCAATGTGATAAACTTAAGTTATTTCTTCTGCAAGTTTAGATCTATTCTAAAAATGATGCATCTAGTGACATAAGGCATGTCATAGTCAGTCACACTCTGCACTGGTCTCTCTTCTGTATAAACTGCCTTTAGGGCTACAGACCCTCCAGCTCCTATATATTCTTTTTCCTCTACTCACTGAATAATGCAGCTCCCTTCCACTCTTCATGTTTGAAAACTGCTTGATTCTCAATTTAGTGTGAAGCCTTGGGCTCAGTGTGAGTTCCTAATTCACTTTTGCTGTTCCTTCCTTTCCTGTTCACTAGGAAATTGAACCGACAAAAATTTTTTGAGTATCTACTACTTTTAGTGGTTTTTCATGTCAACTCCTTCATGTGATACCCTCTCTTTCCGCCACAATTTTATTTTTTTCTCCACAATTTTAAAAGCAGATACAGAGACCCAGCCAGCTTGACATCACTCTGTGTCACAGGACTGAGAAATTACAGGGAAGCATCACATAATGTATGCATAACATAAAGCCATTAATTAGTTCACTATTCAGTCAGGAATACTGACTTTGTCAGAACAATGAATCTATTTATTTATTTATTTTTAAAAGTAGGTTCCACATCCAGCGTGGAGCCCAAGGCAGGGCTTGAACTCATGACCATGAGATCAAGAGTCAGATGCTCAACTGACTGAGCCACCAAGGTGCCCCAGGACAAAGAATTTCTAATAACTGCATATAAGAGATCCCTTCATTGAGAAAATAGAATTTGTTTTTATTAAATCTTCACATTCTTAATGCCCACATTATGGAAAAAAGTTTAAGTAAAGTTCCTGTAATAGCTGCCATGCACTCCAGAGTTACTTTTCACGTTAATGGAAACATGCTCAGGTAATGCTTTCAAGAAAATGGGAATAAATCCTGAGAAATCCCACAGGGTAAGCAGTTTTAAGAATAAACGTGGAAGAAAACAATGAAATGCCAGAACAGTTCATCACTGAATTGGTTTCTAATATGGGATTAGATTAATCTTTAGTTACTTCATACATTGTTTCCTCAACTACCCTGGAAGTGAATCCTACGACACTTGAAAAGAGTATAAAGTACACTATAAAAAGTATTTTCCCCCCAATCACAAAAATCTTATTTGTGAAATCAGCCACGGCACTGAAAAAACAGTCCAATTTATGACAAAGTGAGTTTTTCTGCTACCATGAAATCTTTAAACCATGTATATTAAGTACAACAAAATGACTGAAACCAGTCTAGCGAGTGTGTGTGTCAAATATGCGTATATATATCCATCAGTGACCGCCAGCGTGCTTAGTGTGAACAATTCTCTGACCTACACACGTTCGTGGATTCTTGGGTAATAAAATACATTCACAACAGAATAAGCCCTGATTGATGCAAAACACATTCTCATACCCTTTTCAGATCTAAGCTCTTCAGTGTCCTTTATCAGTTGTTCGATTTCTGAGAGTAGCTCCAAGTTCTTCTTCTCTGAATCTTTTAGTTTACTTCAATAAGGGGAAAAAAAAAAAGGAAAAATGTCATTATTTTTACTGCTGGTTAGTGAGCCATCCTACAGTACGTAGTTGGAGCTTCCTGGTTTAAATGTCAGTCACATCAGGTCAGGGAAGTGCAAAGCCACTGCAGGAAAGACAAATCCCGCCGGTCATCTACTGTTATATAAATAAAATTTCACTGCAACACAGCCAGACTCATTCATTCACAGACCGTCTCTGGCTGCTTTCACACAATAGCGCAGTTGACTAGCCAGAGGCAATACGGCCCACAAAGCCGAAAATATTTAGTATCTGGCCTTTTATAGAAAAAGATGCTGACCTGGAGCTAAATGATTAGATTTTAAAATGTCATAAAATCAAAGGTTAATTTAGGATTTTGTTAGACTCTTCCACAGAGAACCATGAAAGTGGAGCATTGTTATGAGTACATCTGTAGTTTCCAGTTTCATTCAGTCTGGTTTATGAGCGAATGTGCAAACGCCTGTGTCCCAGGCACGGGAAGGCAGCTCACATTTGTTCTACTTATGACACAGAGAATGACATTCAGTAGCTCTTTGTGTTAGGATCGACTCACATTCTCCAGAAAATGTTCTCTCAAATTTTCAATGTCATGCTAGCACATTTAAGCAAAGCATACTTAATTTATGTCTGGATTATTTATAACAAGAGTTTATAATTCAGTGGGATGCCAGGCAACCGCCCTCTAAGTGGATTCAAAACATTAACGATTACAGTTTCAGGACTAAGGCTTCACACCATTACAAACTGAAATTTATGGGACTATATTTCTTTTCATGATTGAATGCCTCTGGAACTCTGCTATTCCAGCACCAAATGGATTTTTCTACTTATATGTTGATTTGTAACACGGACTTTCTGTTGTTCCTCTATATCACCAACACTGACTTATTCTTGAACCATGGTTATATCCAATCCAATTAAGATTTTCATTTTATCACTTATTTATTCTACTGTGGCGATGAGGATTGAAGGAATGTATTTATCCAGTAATTGTCTCAGACTGTGGAGGATATACTTGTTTTAAAACATAAAAGAACATGAAGAAACAATTATAGAGAACCTTCATTTGTAAAAGATCTATGGTAGAGGCCCGAATTCCCAGACGACTGTATTTTGTTCTGAATATATGTTGCATTTTTATACTAATATGATACTCCTGAACAGGAGAGAATTTTGGATTTAATGGAACAGAATTTGAGAGTTAACTAAATTTTACAAGTAAGGGGAAAAATAAATAAAATATTAATTAGCACAATTAATTCTACTTTATGGACAAGTCAGAGGACTAGGCTTTCAGCTAGTCTGTTTTCTAAATACAGACAAGGTTGTATTAAAATCCCATCACTGCATACAAGGCTTGAAAGCATTTATTCATTTTCAAATATTCATAAATTTTTCTGGTCATTACTTAAAAAGGTGATAGGTATGAACTAAACAAGTAACTTCTCCCCAAATACTTTTGGACCAACTTAGAAATTATTCTAGTAAACTCTATCATTCAACCTTACCATTCTGTGATGATGTTAGCTGCTTTAACTTTATTCAGCTCTTCTTGGATGGCCTGCTTAGCTCTTATTTCTGCATCCAGGGCTGACTGCAACTCCAGCCTAGCTGACATATCCAGTTTTGCAAAACGACGCATTTTCCAGGGCATATCCTACCAAATAATATGACTGTTGTTAGCCCGATCCTATTTTTTCCTTAACATTTAAATTCAGTAATGCAAGTAAATTTAGAAACTACATAAAGCACTCTCTTTCTCTGACAACAGAATAGAACTGAAACACTGCTTCTGAAATTATATTATTTTCCATTAAATTCAGAAATAATTGTGGACCCACATATAAGGAGTTTATTTTCCATACTTATTACCAATAACGGATACCTATACAAAATTACAGTTAAGCAGTGATGTGTTATGATTTCCTAAACTGGCAAAGACTTAGACTAAGTGAATTCTCAAGAAAAACTTTACAGTGAGCTAAAGCCTAGACAAATTGATAGAAGTGCTGATTTATTATAGTGTGTTTGAGCCTCCCCTCCCACCCCATATGATAATTCTCCATGCAAAACAGCAGAGCTTACTGTTGCTCGTGCACCCAAGCTGGAATTTCTCAAAGCTTCCAACTCTTCTGTCATTTTAGAAGCTAAGGCCTGGAGATACCCTCGTGCATCCTTTTCATCACTGACCCTAGAATACATACACATACAAAGGACAAAAGTAACACAAACAGAAAAACTTCAGTGTGAGAGATATATTGTTTTTAAAGCCTCACACAAGAAATAAGTGAAATAAATGTTTTCTTTCAAAAGATCTACCACAGTACTACTGCCTGACAATAAGTGGGAAGAAGTTTACTGAACTGTTTCAGTTATCTATGAATTAAAGCTGGTCATGCTTAGGAAAGTTCAAATTACTTGTATCTGATAAATTAGTAAAATTTCGCCCTTGAACCACAGAGTATTCTTTTAATCTAACATTTAAAACACACATATTTACATTATTTCTAAAGAATATTAAGATTTCTAATTGGGTTCTGCCATTTTATCTTATGAAAACAAAATGCATCAGTTTTAAAACTGAAGTACCCTATATTTAGAAAGTTTAAAGTAAAATAGTCTGCAAAAATCAGGGCTGTACTGCAATAAAGCTCCTCTGTTTTCTAAAATGGTCAATAAAATACCAATCAAAAGGAAAAGGTTAAAGTCTTACTGAAGCTCATAACTGTCTTAAGACTATCTTTCTGATGTAACTATTATGATTCTATAAAAATGTTTTCAAATTCCATTCAATGACACACATTCTAAATTTCAGAATTTGTCTAAGAGAAAGTTTGTGTTTTGTTACGTCTTCAAAACAAGGGCAAGGCTAGGGTAAGGACTGCCAGCATATGACAATCCACAGCAGAAGGTCCTATCCCCAAGAAGAATGAAAACAATTAGTATACAGAAAGCTATAATTGGCATAAATTAAAAAAAAGGAATTGAAATTTGTAGTGCTTAGAAGTGTATTCTAATATACTCTGGGGAACACCATTTGCCTTTTGGAAGGCTGGCTGTTTTCATAAATACAATTCAGGCCACTGAATAGTAATGAGAAAAGCATACTTCAGGTAAATCAGTAAGTATCTGATGCATATAGCAAACTGAAATCTTGAACTTAGCTTTAGCATCTTTTAGAATTTAAACTCCTGAGGAGCCAAATTCATATATTTCTATCTATATATCTTAAAGAGGCCCTTTAAAAGGCATTTGGTTCTCTTTTCTCTCAGATGGGAAGGTGTACTGGAGGACAAGCAAAAGAATCTAACAATAAAAGCGATCCAATCATTATAAAAAGTTGCCCAGCCTAGTTCGTTACATATTTTTAGGCTCTATATACATGTATATATTTTTATTGCCTTTTAAGGGAAAATGGCTTTAGAAAATATTGTTTGTGTAGTGGGAGGCGGTTTCCTTTAAAATTCTTTAACTTTGGACACCACACATGACCATGACCTTTTGATTTAATCATCTGATCTACAGTATAAAGAATAAGTGAAGATGAAGGAAGATTACCTTTTTTTTTTTAGAGTACCAAGAAAGACACTTAAGAAAACTGTATTATCGTTTAAAGGGCCAGGCTAATCAGCCTCAACCAGCATTGCTTTAGTGCCTATCTACCCCAGCGATCTAGGCTTATGCACATTCCAGCCTGCTTCCATAACTCTGGAAAGCAATAAATTCTTGTACATGCCTTTCATGCTGTTTAACGTTTCAAATAAAAACCAATCTCTACCTCTGAAACAAATAATACATTATATGTTAAAAAAAAAAAAGATGATGATAGCAGGAAGGGAAGAATGAAGAGTGGGAAATTGGAGGGGGAGACGAACCATGACAGACTATAGACTCCGAGAAAGAAACTGAGGGTTCTAGAGGGGAGGGGGTGGGGAGATGGGTTACCCTGGTGATGGGTATTAAAGAGGGCACATAATGCATGGAGCACTGGGTGTTATATGCAAACAATGAATCATGGAACACTACATCAAAAACTAATGATGTAATGTATGGTGACTAACATAACATAATAAAAAAATAAATAAAATGGAAAAAAATAAAAAAAATAAAAACCAATCTCTTGTAATTTTCGTTTTATTTGCACGTTGAATACGTTCACATTCCCTGACCCATGTGGTCTCCCACTAAGTCTCAATTTTTTATTAAAGCTATGTCTATTTTCTTGGCTACAGAGAATTAATGAAGGGAAGGGTTTTAAAAGAAAAAGAAAAAAGACTGGGTCATTTACAAATTCCTGCCATTTAAATTCCACTGGGCCCTGGTCTGCTACAACAATTCCTTTTTAGAATCATTGCTATTTGTCTGTTTCCAACCTTGATCCTTGAAGTCTCACTTCCCTCCGACCAACACTGTCTTGCCCTTTTCTTCTAGGCCATCTGGATAAGCTGACTCATGCCCATTTTAACTTTTTTTTTTTTTTTTTTTAAGTTTTAGAGGCAAGTAAGTCCCTCATCTTTTCTTTGGCCAAGTCATTTAAATGTATTCCTCATCCCACATATATACAAATAATTACCTTCTTTTGAAAACAGCTTATGTTTTCAATTTCATCACTTCCACTGGCTGCTGTAAACATATACAGACGTTTTCTAATCCAGAAAGGTTCTTGTCCCAATTCCTCTCCCTATCGTTGTGATACAACCTGTATCTAATTACTCTAGTATTTAACCCCTCACTAACTCATACATACTTTCTGAGGTCTGATTTCTACCTCAACTATTTTGCTGAAACCACAGTTCATTCAAGTGACAAGTCAACTATAAAAAGCCAATTTCAATCTCTTTTGTTCTTCTGCCATAGCTAAACCCTCTACTCCCAAGCTCTTTCAAGTAATTAATGCAGAAATACTTATTAATACTGACTATTATGTAGGGCATAACAGAGAAGATCTAGAAGATAGTCCTTAAAACGTCAGGGAGGTAGGACATACACAGTAGAGTGACTAAGAACTTTGATTCTTGAGTCAAACAGACCTTGGTTCAAATCCTAACTCGCTGCTCACCAGCTCTAGGACTTGGGCTAAGTCATTTACCCACTTCTAGCTCTCTGCTATCTCACCTACAAAGTGGGGATAATAATCCTACCTCATAGGACTGTTGTAATAACTAAATGAAAATCCTGTACAAGTGAATTTTCAGCCCAAGCCTGGAACATACTATGTTGTAATCAGTATAAGCTACGACTATCCACAAAAGAAGATTAATGAATGAGGAATAGTTCAAATAATGTGAGGGAATTTAAATAAAGGGAAATAAAAGTGTTATTATTGAGACCCTTTGCCGATTATGAAAACACTTTCCTGGCTGCCCTCTACCTTCTATATGCTGCCCTCACCATATTATCCTTCTTTCTTTCCTCCTTAAAAAGATCTCAACAACTTCAATGGCTTTATTGACTAGGAATTAAATCCCCAAATTTATATGCTTTACCCTAACCTCTCTGTAATCTTTTCAAAAGCGTATTGGAACTCTGTACCCAGATGTCTCAGGAGGAGCCCAGACTCACCAACAAGCAAAATAACACAAACAAAATTGATTATATCTTCCCCAAAGTTGGTTCCTTCTCTGACTTTCCTACTTCAGTGGTATCATCATTTTCTTAATCTAACTCAGAATTTTAGAAAAACGAATTCTTCCTCATCTCCTGATCTTCCTTCATAATTAAGTCCTATAGATTCTTCTCATACAATGTTTTCTCCATTTGTTCACTTTTTCCCAAACTTCCCTCCACTTCACCCTGAACACCACTGTAGAGAGTTGTCTTCCTAATGCATCATCCAATCAATGCCATTATCCTTTGCAAAAACCCTCTCCTTCTTATAAATAAATAAAGTTTAAATTCCTACCCAATATTCATGGTAACTATACAGTAGTAACTTTACTAGTCTTATTTCCTACTATTGTTTTATATGAAATCTCCAATTCAGCCAACCTATGTATAGGACCCTTTATTAATCTCAGGGTTTTCAGAAAATGCATTATAGGTTCAAAGGATTACCCCCAACTTTCTCAAGCACCCAGTCTGAGGCAAATCTCCTCTACGCTCCCATAGGAAAATCAGTATTGTGTACTACATAGGGCAACTTACATTTAGGTCTTATAACTAATCTCCAGATCTGGTCACATTAGTTTTTAAACTTTTCAATGATACATGAAAAGTGGCTTAATGGCAAGGTACTATAGTTTATAGGCCATCCTACCTTGAATTATACCAGAAAAGTGCATTAGATGTGAGGAGAAGCATTTTATTTTATTTTTTTGGTGTGTGTTTATTTATTTATTTAATTATGTTATGTTAGTCACCATACAGTACATCATTAGTTTCTGATGTAGTGTTCCATGATTCATTGTTTGCGATTTTAAAAATCACTCTTATGGACTAGCTTATGATTCTGATCTTTCACTGTCATGTCATTTCAAAGAAAAAGTGGAGTATTCTGATGAGTCAATGGTGAGAAGAAAGGCCTCTGCTCTAACACAGTGAGGAGCAACAAGGTCTCCCTTCCCTAAAAGGTAGGTATTCTTTCATATGAAAGGGATATTTCATAGGAAAAGGCAGAGGGAGCCAAGTAAGATGACCATTAGCAATGCATCCAAGTAAGATCTTATTTACAATAGTGCTTGTTCTGTTTTAAAACTGTTACTTTGTCCAAAGGAAACACTTAAAATACTATATATCACAAGTTCCTAAAACCTTGTCTTGGCATCATTTCATTTTTTAAAGTTTTAACTTAAATTCTAGTTTGTAAACATACAGAGTAATACTAGTTTTGGGTATACAACATAGTGATTCAACAATTCCGTATGACAACCAGTGCTCATCCTGGTAAGTTCACTCCATAATCCCCATCACCTATTTCACTCAGCCCCCCCACCCATCTGGTAACCATCAGTTTCTTCTCTATAGGTAAGAGTCTGTTTCTTGGTTTGCCTCTCTTTTTTTCCTTTTGCTTGTTTTGTTTCTTAAATTCCACATACTAGTGAAATCACAGAGTATTGGTCTTTCTCTTACTGACTTATTTCACTTAGCAAAATACACTCTAGCTCCATCCATATTGTTGTAAATGGCAAGATTTCATTCTATTTTATGGCTGGGTAATATTCCATTGCATATACATATATACCACATTTTCTT